CCTGGCAGGAGCGAGGCCGTTCTAAAGAGACACTCTGTCAACGACCTAATTATTGAGACAAAGTACCGAAAGGAATATAAATTTCCTCAGGAATCTCACTCTGGGAGAAGGGAAAAAAAGTGAAACCCTTGTGCCAGCCAGAGCGGAAGCCTGTCTCCGAGGAAGAGATTTCATAGGATGCTGCAACTGGTCGGACCACTTGCAGGGGATGCTGAAGCTGAGATGATGGTGCTAAATGATGGCCAGGACCATCTGTTTAGCCCTAAACTTCAGGTCCGGACACCAAAGATGAACTGAAGGAAGGCTTGTCGGCGACTAGCCACCGACCTCATGGTTCCTGACGTGGCCACACGGAACAGTCTCCTGCCTTTCCACCATGACTTTGTCCCTTTAATTGGCCTACTGAGGATGAATGACTTCCCCTAATTTGTTAAGACGGCCAGGGCCCAGGCGCAGACCCTAACAACTCACCACTACCATCATTTGGATTATGTTCCTTTCCCGAGTGCGCATGCTCTGGCTCAGGGGCCTCCCTTGCAACCTGTGTCTAGAAATGCACCTTCCTTTAACCAGCGGTTCTCAACCTTCCTAAGGCTGCGACCCTTTAACACAGCTCCTCGTGTTGTGATCACCCCAGCCATAATATTTTGTTTTGCTGCTACTTCATAACTAATTTGGCTACTGTTATGAATCATAATGTAAGCATCTGATAGGTAGGGTATCCGACATGCAACTCCTGTGAAAGGGTCACTCGACTCCCAAAGGGGTTTCAACCCACAGGTGGAGAAGCACAGCTTTAATTCTTTCTATTTCTTCTTTCTATTTCACTGGGGATTGAACTCAGGGCCAGAGAGGCATGACAAATGCACGGCAGGAATATAATCTACCACCACATTCTACTCCCTCCTATTTACTTTTCTTTAGCTCCACCGACCCACCAATGGCTTCCATACGAGCCAGGTTTCTTATCTTCCTTAAACCATCTCAGTGCAGTGATTTGATTCTCTTTCCTCCAGCTCTGGCAGGAGGGGAGCTGCACAGAGCTCCTCTTACCCCAGGGCTCAGCTGTGATCCATATGTCTGGAGGCTGAAGGGAGGGAGTCACAGGGGAACAGGCAGAGTCAGCCTCGTTTATCTCCCACTGATGGTTTTTGGCTGTGGGTCCTGTACGATCACCATCCTTCCTTCCTTCCAGCTTTTTTGTTTTTGATGCATGTAATATGTCGTAATTATCTACAGCTTCCAACTGTGCTGGTCTCCCCTGCCCCCCCCAAAGGGCTATTATAGGTGAGTGCGTTTGACTCTTAAGGGATGTTTTCTAAATGGCAGGTGGGATGTGGGGGCGGGGGACCTTGGATCTTTCCAAACCATTGTGTCCAGCATCTTGAGCTAGTAAAGCCTGCAGTGGGCGTACAAGCCAAAGTCCCAAAGGTCACCTTTGTGGTCCTGCCTGATGCTGAATCACACTCTCCTGCAAAGCTCTTCCATGTTCTCATTCACGAGGACCCAGGCCTGCTCTCCTATCCAGGTTCCGCAATGGCCCATGTTGTTGGCACGCTTTCTTCCGTATCAAACCGCCCACCCGCAGGGTGTCTTCCACGGCCACCCTGCTACGTGTCCTGTCTACGGTCCCCAATGCCACCTTCTTCCCAGTGTCAGTCTTCACCACCTGTTTCGTTTTGTTTCCTCTGTACAGCCCTGGCTGTCCTGGAACTTGTCTAGACCAGGCTAGCCTGGAATTCAGAGAACTGTGCCTGCCTCTGTCTTCCAAATGCTGGGCTTAAAGGCGTGTGTCACCATGGCTACACTCCATGTTTAACCGCGTCTTTTCGGTAAGTGTAAATGTCTCATGGTTAATTGTTTTTGTCTCTGTGACTCCCGAAGACTCCCCAACATTTCAATCTTGGTACACCGTGTGTACTCAGTGACTGCTGTCATCATGGCTTGCAGGCTTTTAGAGAGCAGCTCCAACAATAGCAAAACAGGAGACACAATTAAAAAAAATGTGTGATGGACTCAAATAGATACTCTCTAATGAATGTATGTTTTAGATATATATATATATATATATGTGTGTGTATACATATATATATGTATACACACATATAATGTATAAAGGGCCAATAAGCACACAGAAACACAGTGTCATGGGGATGGAGAGCTGGCTTTCTGCTTTATCTGGAGCCTGGAATTCAGGCTCTGGCATCCATCTCACAGGCCTTATAAACACTGCGAGGGATCTGATGTCCCACTTACAGCCTCTGTGGGCACCCGGCCCCTCTCTCATACCCCCTTTCTCTCTCTCTCTCTCTCTCTCATACACACACACACACACACACACACACACACACACACAGTGCATATGCCTACACAAATAACATGATAAGGTTTGAAATATAGCACCACTAATCATTACTGAAAACTGCAATGAGCTACCGCCACATATGCGTTGGGATGGCTATTACCAAGAAAAAAAAAGGAAAAAGAAAATAATGAGTTCAGGCAAAGGCGAGGAGCTGGAACCTTACAGCATTGTTGGTGGGAAGGCAAAATGCTGTAGCCATTGGAAAACAAAACTGTCAGTTAAAAAAAAGAAAAATAAACAGAGCTAGGACAGAACCCAGAAATTATGCTGCTCGGTGGACACACAAAAGCAGTGGGAGTAGACACACCCTTTTGAAGGGTTTGTGCACAACACCCGTGTCCATCGCGGGTGAGGGGTGAATAAGAGGCGCAGGGTGCTTAGGCGGGAAAAGTTATTCAGCCTTCAGAGGTGACTCACATTACAGCCCAAAGACGTTATCCCGCATCCTAAAATAGGGCCGATACAACAGACAAAATATTGCAGAATTCTCCTTATTTTAGGTACCTAGAGTGGTCAAACTCATGGAGAGAGAAAATACTGGTGACTCCCAAGGGCTCAAGGAAAGGCAGGCAGAAGGGGGAATCGGTGTCCACCTCTCTCTCTCTCTCTCTCTCTCTCTCTCTCTCTGAGACAGGATTTCTCTGCATAGCCTTGTCTGTCCTAAACTCTCTCTGCAGACCAGGCTGGCCTTAAACTCACAGAGACCCACCTGCCTCTGCCTCTGCCTCTGCCTCCCCAGTGCTGGGATAAAAGGCGTGTGCCGCCGCCGCTTTGGGAAACATCTTTCTGAGAAGTTGACAAAGTTCCAGAGGTGGATCGTGGCGATGGTTGCACAAACGTACTTACTGCCACTAAACTGTGTACTTCAAACGGCTAAGATGGTAAATGTCCCGTTACCTACTTTAGACTACAATTATAAAGCAACAGAGGAAAGAAATGGATGGCCAGTCGTTCCTCCATGGTCCCTCCTTGAGGACAAGCATCACTGGGAGGCCCCGGGTTCCTCCCCAAGAGCACAATTCCTGTGCCCACTGTCCCTATGGAGGAGTGGGGTAGTTAGAGAAATACCACCACCAACTGGCTCCATTATCACAAATGTCCCATCAAGTTGGAGTGAGGGAAAGAACTTCATAGGCCCCTCCCCTTCACAAGGGAGTACTCACAAAATCCAGTGAGCCGTACACACAGTGACTGAAGAGGGGACCGTCATTAATTAACGTGTCATCAGGATTAAGACATATTTTCTTTTATGTGTATGAGTATATATGTGCACCGCACATACGCAGTACCCACGGAGGCCAGAGCAGGGTGTCGGTTCCCCTGGCACTGGAGTTACAGGCAGCTGTGAGCTGCCATTAGGTGCTGGGACCCGAACCCGGGTCCTCTGGAAGAACAGCCAGTGTTCTTAACCACTGAGCCATCTCTCCAGCCTTATAGTAAGGATTTCTTCAGCAACCACTGGCTCAAAAAATTTCCACAGACCAGTATTAGATTTCACAATGGCCACCAGTTTCCTTCTACCACTTGGGAGTTACAGAAACCCAAAGGCTAAGAGAATACGAAAGAAAGTATCTCAACGCCAATGAGCCAGCGAGCCTTAGACGGCCTGCACCATCTTGCTGCAGAGCTGGCCATGTAACCGTTATTGTCCCCTTCAGTGAAGACCTAACTTGGGTTCTCTGGGAAAGAACCCATCTCATGCTTCCTTCATCTGAAACAAGCTCCAAGAACTCCAGAGGTCTCTGTGTTCCCAACCATACACTGTAGTTATAAACTATAAACTGACTATTCTCTGAGCCTAAATGAAACAAGACACTATTTTCTAGGCTAAGAAGGAACCCCTAGATCTTTTTAAATTCTACATGTTTTATATTTAAAAAAAAAAAAAAAAAACCTATTGATTCTTAGGACAAACAATCACATTTGGGCCATCTCATTTAAAGCTTCCTGATTGTTCCACAGGCTGATTCTCCACAGGGCAGAACAATGTGCTGACCCCCAGGGCTGAGGGCAGCTCCATCCTTCTCCACAGGGCTCCTGCAGACCTTCAGGGGGGATCTGCTTTGTTCTCCAGACACTGGAGAAGGGATGTACCCTGGGGCTTGTCACCAGGAGGGCATTTGGTCTGCCAGGCCATCCCACAGGCTGCAAGGGCCTCTGGCCAACTAAAACAAATATTAACTTGGAGGAATTTTAGGAACAGGCTCCAACCGGTCAAGTAGAAGGACGGAGAAGGGGTCAGAGTCGTAGCTGGGCTCTGGGCCAAGAGCTGGGGTTTCTCCCATACTTGCAGAAGGTTTCAGGTCACTTCCTCCACAATAAATAAATAAATACATAAATGAAAATTTAAAAAAAGGTTTCTTTGAAACCACCAGAGATCACATATATTGGCTCCTTAAAAAAAAAAAAAAACTATTTACAGCGCTGTTGTTGTCTACTTGGTTAAAACACAGAGGGCGGCTCACCTAACAGGTCACCTTCAGCAGGGACCCTGTGATGCCCCCGTTTCTCATGGCTTCACTGAGTCTGCAACTACCTTTCCGCATGCAGCTGTTCCCACCTGGGCAGAGCCCTGGCACACTGGGGGGGGGGGCTAGGGTAGGTGACTACCAGAGACTGGCAGAGCCGTGCTTACCGAGTTCTCCTTTAGCTGCAGCCCTTCCCCGTTGGGAAGGGACGACCTCCGCTTGGAGTTTCTGTTCGGGGTGGAAGTCATGGTCCCCGCTTTCTTCTTGACGGTGAGCACCTCGCAGCTGGCTTGGTCCTCATTGTGTGTGCTCTTCCCGGCATTGATGACTCTGCAGAAGAAGAAGAGGCCAGAAAAGGCTGGTCAGACGGTGGTTTCTGGGAAAGCTGAGCGCTCAGCCCCTATCTATCGCAAGGGACACCACAGCTGGCATCCAACGACCTGATGCAGTGAGTGGGCCCATGGCCTCCATGTTTCATGCCCCGAGGAAGCTGAGCTGTTGAGAGAGGGACTGGTAACATTAGCAACCTCTGACACACCCACCGAGGGAGTCCTGCGTGCATGCAGATCACAGCTGCCTCTGCAGCCGTCTGTTAGGGACGGCAGCCCCGGGAAGCAACCACCCCTTCAGGGCCTGAACTGTTTGGCAATTACATCACAGACAGGGTAGCTCGGGGAATTCTGTTCCATTTCCCCAAGTGATAAAGGGCAAAGTCAAAGAACACGGCAGTAATTTACAGCACGTACATCTTACGGTCAGAGGGAAGACAGAACCCTACCTCTCTATACCCCAGCCGGTGAGGTGACTGGGTCAAAGGTGGCTGGCAGCGCATTCCTCCCTTGCTCATGCTCATGCTGCCGCTGGGCTTATGAGGGTTACTGCTCCTGCACATTGACACACCAGAAGGTTCCCAAGAGTGCGGGCAGTGCTTTGTTCTAGTTTCTAATGTCAACAGGATCCGAATGTTTTAGGAAAACATGCTCCATTGTTCGTGTACCTTTACCCAAGTCCAGGTATCTGCAGACTCAACTCTGCCTGTCAGCACCTCTGTCATAGTGAGCAGTGGTTGAAGGAGATTTCCTGAGAAAGAGCTCCCTTTAATCCTGCACACACACACACACACACACACACACACACACACACACACACACACAGAGCTCGGAGTATTGTACGATCTCAGGCAGGGGATTTGAGACAATCTTCTGGCAAATCCACAGATTGTAGGAGCTGCCGCACACAACGTCATACTTTTTAATTGTTTTTTGATGTCTAAGCACTTTTAAGAAATGAAATAATTACAGAGTTCATATCCTGTGACTTTCCTTTGAGTTGCACCCACCCTTACACGTGAACTTCAGTCCTTTGCTGACCGGTAAGTCTTGCACACACAGGACCATTTCTGACCCTGCAGACATCTCTCTCTTAATGAACCATAGTGTTGCCTTACAAAAAGTTCACTCCCAACATCCATGGAATCAGAAATGGGTACCTTTGCCTTGGCAAGCTTTTTATCTTTTTTTCCTGACTCCAGAAGTATCATTTGATTAAAAAAAAAAAATACCATTTTTGGGTTGGCGCGATGGCTCAATGGGTAAAACCATTTGCTGGCAAGCCTGACAATCCAGGCGTGAAAAAGAAAATAACATTACCATTTGTGATTACTTATCTGCACGTTCTAAGACAAAGGCCAGGCCAGTCACCTACCATGTACTCTATTTCAAAGTTTTGTGTTCATCAAAACCATTCATTGTTCTTAACAGTGTTACCGAAAATTTTCATTTCAGCCGCTTTCATAAAGCAGCATCTGCTTTTACTCATGTCATACACTGCAACGTTCTCTCTTTTTAATTAAAAAAATTTCAAACCAAATTTTGCTTATAACATTTCAATATCGCCTTCCGGGGGATAATAAGGAGACTCGTGTCCCTCCTGGCCTTTCTCGGGTCAAACGGGCCTGGCAGTTGATTGCACGTGCTGTGGAGGGGTTGGGAGAGAAGGCGTGCTGATGTTACTCTCTCCTCTAAAAAGGGACATTTCTGGACACACACGGTTAGGTGACCTACAGGGTGATGATTAACAGCGCCACACTGACCGCCAAAGTCCAGTAACTGATCCTAAGTGAAACAGGGAAGTTCACCAGGGGATAAAGATGCCGTCTACTCAGACCCCATCTCAACTCTTGGGCTGTGCACCACGGGGGCATCAGACAGTCTGTGACTAGCCAAGCTGGACTTCAGGGAAACACAGCGTAGGCCTGTGCTGGTCTAGTACTCAGAGCAAGGGCAGCTTCCTGCCTGCTTCTCTAACCGCAGAGGAGTCCCACTAAGACCCCAGGGAAGGAGGCGGCCCAGGCAGCTCAGACTTGCCTGGCCAAGAGACATTCATGCTCCGTCCCAGCTAGGTAGGACTGTATCTCAGGACAGTTCCCTAGGTACATGATTCTGACCTCAGAGGAGCAAGGTAGGCGGCGGGCAAACTAGGTAGGGAATAGCCTGTAACCAGTAATGACTTGCCAAGTGGTACGTTTGCAGGGTGTTATTTACTGAAAGGCAATGCTCTGCCACCACGATTTCCCAAACTAGCACATTTCCTAGACAATGGTGAAATGGAAGACCGTCTGGGAAAGCAGTTCATGCCAACGACAAGTCTCTCGGAGCACCTTCTGGGCAAGGCTCAGCTACCATTTCCAGAACCTGGTGTTCCTCCACCATTAATGCCTAACCTTGTGCTGTAGACGTCCTTTGTTGCTTTGTTTTAAAATAACAACAGCTCCTACCAAGTCTGACTCATTAGCCACTGCCGGCTTCCAGGAGTCCGCAAAACTACTATAATTACTTAGATCATGGAATCGGAAATCATCATCCCCTTTAAATGCAGCCTCCTTTTATGGGTGCGAAACTCTGAAGCTGACCTGGTTCTGCCAAGAGGTCCCCCAAACCTTGCCTTACGCGTGAGAAATCTAGGTCCCTGGATGACATGACCTACGTGAGGTCGCACAGTTAAAAACAGCACAGCTGTGAACACACTTGCCAGTCCTGAGCTCTTCCCTTGGCCTCGGCTCTCGGCCGCCTTTCCCCATTGGGAATCTATTCCTGGTGGCGCATGGTTTGGAGGTCTGCTCAGCACTGACTCATTGGAGCCGCCGAGCTGCGAAAGGACAACTATTGGTGGCCTTACTTTGCCCTTTCATGTTGAATCAGCTCTTGAATAACCCAGGGAAATGTTAAAAAGTCTGAAATGTCAATCTGATGGGAAGACTATAATACCGTCCTAGTCAGACATTTCAGGGTTACCCAGTTGATAAAGGACTCACCAAAAAACAAACAACGCTTTTTTTTCTTTACAAGATTAACAAACTTTTTTTTTTTTTTTTTTTTTTTTTTTTAGTGTTTTGCTTATATGTATGTTAAATGTACCAGGTGCATGAAGAGGCCAGAGAGGGTATTGGATCCCATGGAATTAGGTTTTATAGTTGTGACCCACCATGTGTGCCAAGATTCGAACCTGGGTCCTCTAGAAGAGCAACACATGCCGGGTAACTGCTCCCCTCCTGCCTGGCAATGTTGGGCACTGATTCCAGGACCACATGTTTTTACCTCTGAACTCCACCGCCAGCCTCTCAAATTCCCACTGTTTCACCTTCAATATGTGGCCAGCATTTCACGGGGAGTAAGCGACTCTTCTCCGCATCCTCTGATCAAGTCCGGTCAACCCTGTGAGGCACCAGCACCTCTTAGAGGGACCATGGGGTCAACGAGGGACAGAGCGTGTGCAAGTGACCGCTCTACGCCTCATGCCCTCAGCTGCTTTTCATGATCCCGAGTTGCTAAGGTAAGTGATGGACAAGAGGATTTTATTTATCTGAAGAACTGGGTAATTTTTAACTTAGAATTTAAATCCAGACAGGAGAAGAAAAAACAATGAAGGAGAATTACTGCCTGTTCAATTTAGAAAGTTTACAACCACACCTCCCCACCCCAACACCTAGAAGAGCTGCAGAACTGACTTTGTTTTTAAAGGGATATGAAGCCTGGGTGGTTTAAACTAAAAATTATACTTGGTGTGATAGCACTTCTCAGCAGGAAGTAATCACGGCGGGTAAGGAAGTGGTATTTGTACAGGACAGCAGGTGAAGTAAAATATATTGCTGACTCATATATAATTGAGAGGCGGGCTGAAAATTGCTGTCCGGGGGAAATGAATCATTTATGAGAGATCAAATATAGCTGCCTATTACGAACGGTCTCTTCTCTAGGTACCCTCGTGGTCCCTGCTTGTAGGGCTGTCTGAAGTGGGGACTCACCACCCAGACAGGCCACAGCAGGAAGCCAAGGTATTCCTTACCCCTGAACTCCCAGGGAGAGGACAAACTCCTGTCCCTGGGTGCTGGGAAGCCTTGCTTTGGCCAAGGAGCCTGATCTGTGCTTTGATAACAGCCCTCAGCAACACTGAAGATGGCCAGGGGGAAGGGCTCCCAGGGACTGGTGGTGTCCCCTGGACAGCCGCTCAAGTGCAGGGGAAAGAAAGAAGACAACGTACCCTGGGTCCATCTCAGACTCGTGGGTGACAACGTTCTTGCTGTATGTAACCTTACATGGCAGAAGGGACAGAGAAACAAAGACTAGCTCTTGAGCCTCTTTTTATCAGACGATTAATCTTACTCCCATGAGGTCCATCTTAATCCCCTAATGACCCGAGGAAGGTTCCACTTCCAATAGTTCCACATTGGTTTAGGTTCCAACATATGATTTCACACACACACACACACAGAGAGAGAGAGAGAGAGAGAGAGAGAGAGAGAGAGAGAGACAGAGAGAGAGACAGAGAGAGAGACAGAGACAGAGAGAGCCTATTGCAAACTCTCTCAGACTGACTCTACAGTCTAGAGTTGAGGTGTCCATAGTAAAAGTTCCAAGAATGCAGAGGAGAGAGATTGATAAAAAGAGCTACAGAAAGATGAGGTGGCTCGTGAATTCAGCCTTACTGAATGAAGAAGGGAACCAATATGTAGAGAAAAGTTAAAATGTCCCAGGCAGACGAGTAGTCTGAGAAAACAGAGCATGAGATGAAGTTTCGATTAGGTAGCCTGGGCGTGCACTAACCATGGGCTGTAACTACAGGCTTGGTGAGGAAAACTGCCTCAGGACTGAAACACGCAATTCTCCAGGGACCTCACCCTACAGAGCCCCCTGGGAGGACATGAAGATTGCTTCCTTCAACGAAGGCTCACTAGGCTAACAGCAGCTCTAGGAGAGCATTCTAGAAGCCTCATGTTGGATGAGGGAAGATGGGAGCAGAGGTAAAAACATTGGGGAAAGGATCTCTCTGTC